CATATGGATGAGGAAAAGGAAATGATAATCAGGGAGAAAAAAAATGCAAAGGTAGGGTAATGCTTAATAATATGACTTGATTAGTTACCGAACATTTCCACCTATAGTATAGACTCAAATATCGAAGTCTAACCGTGACTTAAAAATTTTGTTTCTTATTTACTTAAAAGTTGCATATAAATATGCTAATTGATGTTGTCGTATAAATTGCTTTCTTAGTAAAATTTCGTTCAATACACTCTTACATTCACAAGTTTATATAGTTCTATGACGTTTACATTAATTTCTCACTTCTATTCCATATTAAATTGCTTTCTTGCTAAACTTATGTCAATATAAATTTCTTTAATACCCTCTTACTCTCACAAATTCGTCTAGTACTACGTTGATCTCTTATTTCCATTCGAAATTAAAATATTTTCTTCGTAAACTTATATCAATATGAATTTGTTTAATACCTTCTTACTCTTAAAATTCATCCTAGTTCTACGTTGATCTTTTGTTCCTATTAGACATCAATGAATGCAAAGACAGTAAAATTTGTGCTCATCTCGGAAATTCAACATGTATTAATACGATTGGATCTTATGAATGCACTTGTGGTAATGGATACACCCAAAAAGACGAAAAATGCATTGGTAATAAAGCTAAATCGATGTAACAGTTGAATCTAGTATCAGTCTTCCCTTAGATCGTAGTCATACTTTCAATGCACGTATAATGCATCAAATTCTCATTATGATCTACAAAATGACCATCATTACCGAATGGATTCTCTTGCAATTCTCTTTTGCACTAGATGTTGACGAGTGTTTACTTAATACGGACAATTGCCATGCTAAAGCAACTTGTGCAAATACAATCGGATCCTTTTCATGCACATGTAAAGAAGGGTTTCGTGGCGATGGCTTGCAATGCAAAGGTATTACTAATTTACATTTCAATAAATTGATTAAATGCTGCAAAGATTGAAATTATCTATAATTTACCTGCTGTATGTGTTGTCTCGTAGATATCAACGAATGCGAGCTTGGTCTAGCTAATTGCAAAACAAATGCCTTTTGCATTAATACGAACGGATCTTATAAATGTGCTTGCAAGATTGGATTTATTGGCCACTGTGAGACATGTGAAGGTAACAACTCTACTACTTGTATTACCCTTGATCATTTAAGTTGAAGCTCTTACCTTTAATTTCTAATTTTTTTCACAACACGTTATTTCATCTACTCATTAAAATAATATGGTGATAATAAATCATAATAGATGTCAATGAATGCACAGCTGGTATAAGTAAATGCGATAAAAACGCAGCCTGCCAAAATACGATAGGATCGTATACCTGCAGTTGTAAGGAAGGACTTCATGGTGACGGTCGTATCTGCTACGGTAAATATAAATTCTGTTACTTTAGTTCGTATGATATAATGATGATCTCCTGGACTGGTAATTAACTTAGTAATGAAACTTTGCGACCTATCACAGATACCAATGAATGCTTTTTGGGCATTGACAAATGTCATAAAAATGCTAAATGTATCAATAAGTGGGGATCCTACGAATGTAAGTGCGAAACTGGCTATACTGGCGATGGCAAAACTTGTGTCGGTAAGCAATTCATTCGAGTAGTATTTGATCAGAGTTTATGATAAGAGAATTAATCACAAATTTATTTTCTGTATGGTCTAGAAAATGATTTAAAGTATCTTATCTATCATTTAATTTGCTAATAGATATCGATGAATGTCAAGAATCAGATAATGCCTGTAATTTCGATAGCAATTGCAATAACACGATTGGATCATATCATTGCAAATGTAAACAAGGATATATTGAGGGAATCGACAGAAACTGCCAAGGTTGAACTATGCAAATTATTAATTTGACTAGATTAGACGATGCTACCATTATATGCACTATAGTACTGTATTTAATCTAACCTTCTACTGTACTTATAATGACATCTTAGATATTGATGAATGTAAGATTGGCACTGCAGATTGTGCTGCAACCGCCGATTGCACCAATACACCTGGCACATATATATGCAAATGCAAACATGGCTATTCTGGCGACGGCAAAGTATGTAATAAAGTCTCCCCTCGATCTAATCCTATTGGTTGCAAAATTGGCGGTAGCGATTGCATTTCAACAGCTAAATGTGTATATAAAGCTGGTATATATAAATGCGTTTGTAAGAAAGGTTACATTGGAGATGGCACCCAATGCCAACGTACGTTGCGATCATTTTCAAAAGTCGAAATATCCAACTATTCTGGCATGCGAACTACCATAATATTTCAATATTAATGGAGAAATTTTCTTCCTTTATACAGAAATTAATGAATGTGATCTACCATCCATGAACAATTGCAGTAAGAACGCAAAATGTATCGATAATGATGGTGGATATACTTGTCAATGCAAAGCTGGTTTTATTGATTATAGTGTAGAAGGCAAAGCTTATGAATGCAATGGTAAAATTGATCTTTAAATAATTTGATAGTATATTCAGCTCAAGATGTAGCTGATAATTATATAATTATTGCAAAGTGATTCACTGCAGTGTGTTGATATTGCGGGCAGATATTGATGAGTGTACAGAAAAAACTGATGACTGCAGTAAAAATGCAGATTGTGTCAATACCCAAGGTTCTTATACCTGCACATGCAAGACTGGCTTTAGTGGTTCTGGTATCCAGTGCGATGGTAAAATGAATTACATTAGATTTGAAAATTTTAATTTCATTGACTTTACATTAAAATAAATTACGAAGAGTTTATTGTTGATATCGATTTTCACCGATTACAGATATTGACGAATGCACAATACCGAACGCGTGTGGAGAAAATTCGATATGCAGCAATGAACCTGGCAGCTTTCAATGCAAATGTCAAGATGGTTACGTTGCCATCAATGGAAGTTGCTTTAAAGGTACATTATCTTATATTAGTATTGTTCAGAATAGGATAAGAATATTTAGCGCATAACATCAATTCTTGCAACAGTATTTTGGACAGCATTCTTACGCTAAATGATCTTAAAAAATTTTTTCTTTAACTTTTAATTTTATGGCAGAATCTCCAAGTGATGTATGTCCAACCTCAATCGCAAATCAGTGCCATCCAAATGCTACTTGTTATTATGTAATGAGTGAATCTTCTTACCAATGCATCTGTAATTCTGGATTTAAAGGAGAAGGCAAACAGTGTCAAGGTAGATTCATCTTTAGAAAATAAAAGAATTCTTGGCATTTTCGTCCGCTACTTAAGCTCATTCAATAACTCAACTATTCATTTATTAAAAACTCCTTTAGACGTTGATGAGTGCAAAGAAAAACCAATATCTCCATCAGCTGTTTGCATAAATACTCCTGGGTCTTACAAATGCAATTGTAAACCAGGATATGAAGGCGCTTGCTTGTTATGTAGAGGTAAATTTACCAACGTTGTAGTAGAGAATGAGTACTAAATAAACTGCGATAAATGCAAATATTTACCTCCAAAGACACGAAAGTATCTTATATGATGCCTACATTTCAAACATTTATCATCTCAAACAAAAGCTCATTTATTTAATCTATTTAGACATTGACGAATGTACTACTGGAGAACATACCTGTGGCGGTAATGCAACTTGCATTAATGAACTTGGATCTTACAAATGCAAATGTAAACCAGGCTATAAGGGTGATGGTCAAACATGTACAGGTAATACATTACAAAGCGTAAGTGATATTTATGGTGATTTATGAGTACCCTAAAAGTGACCATCATCCTATATTTGTGGCTGTTACAATTTTTAGATGTTAATGAATGCTTAAATAGCACAACGAAATGCAGTAAAAATGCAGACTGCATTAATTTACCTGGTAGCTATAATTGTCACTGCCAATCTGGATATACCGGCAATGGAATTAATTGCATACGTAAGCAATATATCACCTATATAAGAATTTGTTAATAGAGGGCCACATTGAACCTAAAATGGCGAAATATTGTTGTCGCGAAAATACTTTCAATCTCAAAATAATATTTTGCAAAAATTATGGCTTGAATTGGAGAGCTAACACAATACTACAATACAGTATGTTTCACCTGTACTTCATCTTCTAACGTTATTTATCATTTCATATCCTTAGCTATCGATTTTTGTAGTCCTGGAGGTGGTAATGATTGTGGCAGCAATGCCAATTGTATCATTTTATCTGATGGTTCATACAAGTGCGAATGCAAACCGGGATTTAAAGGCGATGGACAAATTTGCAAAGGTATCGTACCGAGTATTTACTGTGGATTTAATTGCTTATTTAAATATTTGATAGTTGATTCAAAAAGACACTGATTGCTATATCTTTTTATGTATTGCTTACACTTTATCTACAATGAATTAACAACTTTCACTACTGCACTATAGACATTGATGAATGCACTGAAAGTAAAACTCCTCCCTGCCATAAAAATGCCACTTGCACAAATACTAAAGGTTCCTATTTCTGTCAATGCAAGCCTAATTATAGAGGAAATGGCACCGTTTGCGAAGGTAATTTTAATCTTCTGAATTTAAATTATGAAACATTTTGGATTAGTTATTGAGTAATATTGATCACCATTTTACTCATTGAATAAACCAGATATTAACGAATGTGAAGATTTCCAAACTTGTAAATTAAATCAAACATGCATTAATCTTGACGGTGGATACAAATGTTTATGTAAATCAGGCTACACGTTAACTGCTGATAAAAGTGCATGCGTTGGTAAGCTCATAATTTAGCTAAACGGACTCTATAGCTAATGACTTGCTAATATGCAATCTATCCTATTGACTGCAGTCACTGGATGCTGGCTAACAATTGATCTTGTTTTTCTTTATAAGATATCGATGAATGCAAAGCCAATTCCAAACTATGCCCTAATGGGTTATGTTTAAATTTACCCGCATCTTTCACTTGTATTTGCAAAGATGGTTTTAAGCGAGTAGGCGATGATTGCCAGGGTAAATTTTTTTACTATAGCAAACATTCTAAATGATCTGATTTAAATCAAACCGAAAGATGAATAACTAACTTGAACTAATTATATTGATCACTAGATAATAATGAGTGTACTGCAGGCTTAGATGACTGCGGCGAAAATGCTGATTGCACTAATACTGCAGGCAATTATACTTGTACTTGTAAGAACGGCTATACTGGCGATGGAAAAGACTGTACAAGTGAGTTTTTAAGAGTAATTTAGCTAAGGAAAAAAGACGAGCTAAATAAAATATCGTATAAATATGAAAAATGTTATATCATTAATGTTATTTATCTATATTATTATTTTACAATTTAGTTACTGTAAGAGGAGCTTGTAAATGAGTTGTTTTCATTACGCAGCTTATATATTTCCACTAATAACTAAAGATGCCATCATAATATGCGAACTTTACTAGCTCTATTCAGAGCTACGATCTAGGCTATGCTATTTCACATAGTCAGTTTTTACTTATTCATCTTAAGAGTTGCAGAACGATTCCATATTAAATCAAATATTATATACTCGTTTAATTTCACCTTACAATTATGAAACTTATTTTTACAATACTTTACATATCAATGAATATTATGGCTCTTCATTGTAGAAAAACAAGCAGAATCTTGCACTGCTGAGGATGAAAAGACTTGCGATGCTAATGCTATATGCACTAAAATCAACAACAACGTCAATTGCATCTGTAAGAATGGCTGGACTGGAAATGGCTATACCTGTACCGGTTGGTATTCCTGTTATATGTTTTGTAACTACGTTAAATCCAGTCTCACTATTCGAAGCTAAGAAAATCATGAAATGTTAATAATTTAAGATGTAATCATAAAACTGCTTTATATCGACTCTATTGGTAGATGTCGATGAATGTGCAACTAGGAAATATCAATGTAGTTCTTCTGCTGATTGCGTCAATACTATCGGAGCTTATCAATGTCAATGCAGGAAAGGATTTAGAGGCGATGGCAAATTTTGTGATCGTAAGTACTAATTTAGCATTGGCCTGAAAGTATCTTACAATAAAAGTTTTACTAACAATCATTATAAAATAGGTATTTGCAGACCAGGCATTTGTAAAATGCCTGGCAGTACATGCACCGTTAGTGAAAATAATCTACCTCAATGCACCTGTTCATGCCGATTTTGTTCTGAGCGAGAAGGACAAGTCTGTGGTACTGATGGAGCAACTTACAAAAGTGTTAAAGACTTAGAAATGCGCAACTGTATGTATGGAAGCATCGTTGGTATCGAATACTTTGGAAAGTGTGAAAGTAAGTCAACAGAGTCAATGAATTAAGATTGAAATCATTTGCTAGCTCTCCGTCCACAACATCGACTTATTTCGTTCCTTAATGTTATGATCTCTTCCAATTTTAATCAGCTTCTTGCAGTAATGTGATATGCAATCACAATGCGGAATGCAAGCAAAATCAGACATTCAATCGACCAGTCTGCATATGTCCACGATGTTCTCGTAATATTACGCGTAGATCTGACAATGAAGTATGCGGATCTGATGGTATCACTTATGATAGCGAATGCCACCTCAAGAATTCAAATTGTCGACATGCTAGAAATGTCCAAATTGATTACATCGGAAAATGTGACAACGGTAATAAAGATGACTATATATTTCTGGATTGAATGCTGTTTTATCATTGAAAATGCTAAAATAATACTGAAATATCATTAAAAAGTTCTACAAACTTCAATCATTTACGTAGATTGCCAAGTTTCTCAATGGAGTACATGGAGCACATGTTCATCTACTTGCGGCGATAGTCAAAAAGAACGTAATCGTAAAGTCATCAAAAATAATGGAAAGAAATGCCCACCATTAAAGCAATATAAGCCATGCAATCTACCAGCCTGCACTGCAGGTAAATAATAAAATTCATGATTATTTTTTTCAGATAGAGCATCACGACGATGCCTTCTAATTGTTTATAAATTCTATATTAGAACTTTGTCGAAATATTCAATGTCCATATCAAGCGGAATGTACTACCGATGATTCCGGTAGTGCTCGCTGCACATGCCGTAAATGTGGCGAAGTAGCAAAAGCCCCAGTTTGCGGTAGTGATAATATCGATTATGATAGCGAATGTCATCTACAAGCAGCTGCTTGCAATGACAAGAAAAATATTACTATATCTTATGAAGGCAAATGCGCTGACGGTAATAAAAGATTTGCATAACCCATCGAGATGTAGCTACTTGATTCTACTTTAAAACAGAGTCTAAGCTATACGATTTATGACTTGTTTCTAGGCGGTATTGGCAAACCGTTAGAGTGTCGAAGATTGGCTCAAAAGAATTATATCACTAATACTGAAGGAACATGCCAATCACAAAAGAAAATAAACGTTGGTAAATGTGAAGGAGGATGTAAACATGACAAGCATTGCTGTAAAGTTGACAAAACCAAAGTAGTAAAAGTAAATACATCATGTCGTAATGGATCTACTAAAAATATCTCTGTTTTAGTTATAAAATCTTGCATATGTCGTAATAACGAGTAAAGAATAGAATCATGCATTCAGTATCTTTAATTGAAAAGTACAGTATTAAATGTTATAGAGCAATGTTTATTCGAAGTCTGTTAAATTAGAATCAAAGCTAATATATTTATGGGCATTGATGAGATAATTTAAGTAGTAAATCTTTTAACCTGTGCAAGTATAATTTAGAAAGAATATTATCGATTTAGAATGGTTTCATTAAGCACTTCAAAATTGTTAACTTGATCTAATCATATACCTACGATCAAATTATTGTAATAATCTTAAATTTTTTCACTTCCGTGTATTCGTGAATTGTAGATTATATTTTCGTCTTGTTTAATGTCTTCAATATGTAGACAAAGTAGATGGTTTCAAAACCATTAGTTAGTAGCTATATTATTTAAGAACATAGAGATTATATTTCCAATATCGTAATCATTCTAAGCATATAAATTTATTAAACATATTGGTCAGCTAATTTTGACTATTTCCTAACCGCACATGAGTGAAGTTCGGCAAGGACGTAAATTATAGAATAAAATAATACAATTCTTAGGAATAGAAACTCTTATCGATTAAATAGATCAAATTAAACAGTCTTATGTCCATGCTATTTTAATTATGAGTTGAATGATGTTACGGGTCAGTTTCATAGAGTTAATTACACCATATCATCTTAAATAGAGAAATATTTTCAAAAGTAAGCATAAATTTTTGGATATGCTTCTTTAGAATATTATTTCTTTGCCTTGTCCATTTGTTAATCTTGCAAATTCAAAATTACTAAATAAGATTATAGAAGAATAAACATTAACTAAAGTACATATCCACGGCTTCATTGTATCTTTAAATATTTGTATAAATTATTGGCTGCATTGTAGCAAGTTTTCACTTACAACACATATTACTAAATATATCGTACAGAGCTAATCAATTATAACAGTATAAAAGAGTACCGGTAAGTTATTAACATGGTAATTTGAAATTTTTAATTCTACTTTTTGTTTTCACATTACAGTAAAAAGAAAATATTTTCTCATTACTTCAGATATCTTATGTTCGCTGCAGCAAAACGTCAAATTGGCATTCGTGATTCTTTCACTGCTACAAATACAAGATTCTGTACTTTTTATACACAGGTTGGTGAAAAGTATTACTCATTTTCAAAAT